CAGTGGGCTTCGTGGGGTCCAGCCGACACGGGGTGGTGGGCCAACTTTAGGGGGGAGGGGAACATGTCCGAGTGTAGATTAGTTGGCAATGGGCCTCTCCCCCATCTTTTGCTTTTAAGGGGTAGAGCCCTTGCAGAAGGCAAGTCCTTATCTTCTTCGCTTTCTGTGTTTTGTCATGTTTTAAGGGTAATTAAATTTGGGTCAAACTCAATGCTGGCCATGCCCATGTACATCATACCATGCATTGCCATGTCATCATCATAATCATCCTGACATGGACTTCTCATCCTCTTTTATCTATTCTCGAAAAAAAAAAAATCTTTTATCTGCGTTTATCTGCCTCTTTTCTTGAGAAAAAGAAAGAGATTGGATTTTTAGGTCAATTTGTGAAAAAGCACAAGCATACTCTGCAAAAAATTTAAATATTATTAATAAATTAATATGTATAAGTGATTTTTTTTGAACAATTTGTAAATTATTTACGCGGTTAATTGAGAAAGGAAGAAAAAGAATTTTATGAGGTTCGAACGTACAACCCACTATAAGTGAACAATCATAACCCAAGATCTAATACTACTGGACTGAAGCAACCGTTCATATAAGTGATTTATTAAAGTTATTGAAATAATTTTATAAATATTTATATAATGTTTTCTTGTACCTTGATTTGAAAAATATTTTATATGTATATAAAGATCTTTTAGTAAAAGTAATAGAAAGCCGTTGACATTAAGAATGACCTCTTTATTTCATAATTAATGTTTTATAATCTATTAATATTTAAATTAAAAAACATCAAAATTATATTAAGAAAAAAAAATATCTTCTATTTAATAATTATATGAAGATAATATTAAGGTTTTTTTTTTTAATCGTTACAATCTTGAAAGGGGAATTCCAGCACGACTCTTAAGAATAAGACGTTGTGTTGCACCTTACTCAACCACTTGAGCTGAAAGCCTAGGTACTATAACATTAAGGCTAATTAGAGTGATATGGGGGGAGATAATATTAATCTTAGTTTAGAGGTGGGCTTGCCTAAAGTTAGAAACTAGAAACTAAATTTTTTTAAGTGTGTTAGTTTCAACTGTTCCATAACTCATAAAAGCTTGTACCATCGTGGGTTTGAAGATGCCTTTCAACTCATCATGAAATCTGTTATCTTTGTGTTTAGGACTTAGGTGTTAGTAATAATTAAGGTTAATTAGGGTGTCATAGGGAATATAACATACTTATTAATTTAGTTTAGTGGTGGGCCCCACTCAGTATGATCGAATCTCGGCATAAGCAGATAATGCTTTCTGCTTTAGTGTGGGTCCCACGCTCCCACTGTCTACCTGTTCTCCATTGATTTTGATTCCTCGAAACCTAACAGCCTTAATTAAAAAGTCAGCGAATGAAAAATGATTCCTTTTGCTCCGCAAAGGCAAATCCTTGCATGCCACGTAACTTGTGCAATGTCTTTCTGTCACAATGTGGTTGTTCTAAATGAATCTCCCCAAGTTGTAAAAAGATAAATAAAAAATATAAAAAATAAAAGGTGAATCTCTCCTCAGCACCGGCTTAGGGAAATAATGCCGATTCTGATGCTAGCACCCGCACTACAAATTCCACAAGAACTTTTGGAAGTGTTGGCAATCACTTCTTAGCACAATTGAAAGTTAATATTATATTCTCCACACTTATTTAGGGTGTTTAAAACATAAATAAAACTACTAACATTGAAAAAAGTTACTATAAACATTTTAAACTACTAAATATTCTCAATTGCTATGCCAATTTCTTGGGAACAATAGGTAGTTTGGAAAACAATAGATCCCACCCACTAAATTTTGCATTAAAGAGAAGATGCACTAATCCAAAGGGGAGTTGGAGTCTCCTCCATGGATTATTAAAGTCATGCTCAAATAAATTCAAAAAAGATAAGTTTCTATCAACCTTTTAACCATGTCGCCAGTAATCAAAACAAATACCATAATCAATTTAAGTTCAGCTGTTCCACCACCACATTGTTATCCTTTTAAATATTGAGAAAGTTTATATAAAGATCCCCAAAAGGTGGAGACGAAAGAACCCCATAAAAGAGAGAAAACTCCCACTTTTATTATTTTTTCTTTAACCTCTTGAGGGAGAGAGATAGTGATTAGGAAAGAAAGAGAAGTAAGGAAGGAGGGAGAGTATTTGGGCCAAAGTGGAAGAAAGAGAGGGACTAGGCAGCCAGGTTTTTGTTTCCCTCTTTCAATTTAAGATTAAATGGCATCCAACTAATATTTTTTTTTCTTCAATTTGACAAAAAGAAAGGCCGCTTAGGCAAACTTAATAAAATTCAAAGAATATTTTCATAAGTGTATTTTCCCCCAATAATTTTTTTGATTTAGAGTATGGTATAGAGACAATATAAGTGTACATAGTGCATATTTGACCATTTAAACACAGTCCACAAAATCATGAAAATTTTGGAAAAAGCTCACCATATGCGGGAGTAGAATTCTGATCAGCCTCATTGTATTTTCTTGATAATTAAATATTAGTTAAAAGGCCATGATAGCACTACTTACCTGTATAAAATAGATTTTATATCAATTTAAAAGAAAGGATTTTCTTTGTTAAACATTGGTTTATCCATAAATAAAAGAATCGAATATATTTCATAAATTTCTTGTTTGGGGAATGTATTGTGCTTTTTTTTTGTTTCTATTGCTTTTACCATTTTTGTGTATATAGTGGCATGCAAATGGAGCATCTTATGTGCTTTTGCTTTTAGTATCCACCACAAGAAGTGGAGGGTGGATAAAAATTATAAAGATGAAAAGATCTTAATGGTAACCCTAAGGGGACCCCCATTTCATACTACCATTTTGTTCTTCAACTTGTTAGCAAGATTATACCTCAATCTTCTAAGCTTCTATATAATAAAAATAATAAAAATGTGTTTAGATTATTGATTCCCAATTATGATTGCAAGGGTCACAGTAATATTATATATAATTTGGGTTCTATAATTAGATGCAATATCTTTTATTTTTTGTCCATTCTACGTACATATTATACAATTTAAATTGAAAACTTTTTACTTTTACTATAAGAAAATTATCACTAACTCATTTACGTCATTGATAATGTCTAAATATTACTTGAGTATGAGTCCAATCTTATCATAAATGATACCACCTTTGTTCAAGTTTAGTTATTATCCTACTTTCTAATTTGGAATGCTCAAAATTAGTTGTTCATTTTTATACTTTAAGATTGTTTTAATACATTAATTTACTCTTATTTTGCATTTATTTTAAGAAGATAATTATAAGAGTACTTATTTAGTTAGTTAGTGATTAATTAAAGATAAATATAAAATTTTATTAATTTAATTATTATATCCATATTTTGTTGAAGAAAAAAAGTAAAATAACAAAAAATTGAACAGATGGTGTATTATATGTTGAACACAAATTGGGGAAGCAACAATTACATAAAACAATATTTACACTTGATAGTGTCAATGTAGCTCACAAAACGTAGGATGAAAGGAAAATGTAAATTAAGCTTAGCGTTAAGCTTAAATTTGTTGCACATTGGAGAAAAAAATAATAATAACAACTAAAGTTGAGGAGAGGCTGTATTATATATTGGACACAAATTGGGAAGCAAAAATTACATAAGCAATATTTATACTTCAAAGTGTCAATGTATCTCACAAAAAGTAAGATGAAAGAAAATGTAAATTAATCTTAGTGTTAAGCTTAAGTTTGATGCAAAGACTTGTTTAATTTAAATTAATTAAGCTTGGTTTAAGTAGTTCATCTCCCATACACAACTAACCCAAGATAAAGGAACTTAAAAAAAAAAAAACCTAAAATATAAATTATTTTTGTTATTAGTTTAATATTTGTTACTAAAATAATAAAAGTTAGGGACAGATTAAAAATACAATAATTATATATATATTTTAATAATTGTTATAGAAAATTAATAGGTGACGTTAATTGTATCAATGGTCGAATTAAAATTGTGCTAGTATAATTGGTAATGAAAATAAAGTTATTTTTTGTATTTTTTATATAAATTAATGAAAAATATATAATTAATATATTTTTAATTTGCAGCCTTATTTAAAAGAAAATAAATGCTTATCATTTGTTTAATATAGTTATGGTTTTTTATTTTTTTGATTTTTGGTTTTAATTTTCAAAAATTTTGCAATCATAAACCAAAAAGAACTCGTTCACCTTTATTTGTTTTTACAACATACTATTATAATTATTAGATAAATAAAAATAAAAACAATTTTAATATTATTAAATAAATTTATATTTTTTATTATTAATAATATTAAAACTAATTTTTCACAAACTTTTAATTTTAATCTTCTTTAATTACAAATTTTATAAAAACTAAAAAGAATTATTTATTCTGTGCTTTTACGAAACAAAATAAGAAAGAATTATTAATTAATAATTATTATTTTTTACTTTAAAAGTGATGAAATTGAGTTTTAGTTTAATTATAGATATTATATGTTTAATTTTTTACTGATTTATTTTAAATTATAAAACATAAATTATTTTTTTATTAATTTTTTTTAAAAAATTATAATAATTATTTAATAATAATTTTTTTATTATACACCTTTAAAATATAGAATAGATAAATCCTAAAATCACAACTACCGGACTGAACTACCGGACTAAACAACAACTTGTAAGAAAGGTTAAACAAACTCATATAATAATAGATTTTACAATTTAGTCATGATTACTGGTGGAGCCTCTAGGGAACAAGGGGAGGGCAAACAAGGCCAACTAGGCATGTCCACTCATCTCACCCACAAACCACAATCATTTTAAACATGACATCATTCATGACATCATTTTCCCGACAGCCTGTAAACGGGGCCGAACCAAAACCCCAATTTTACGTGGCAGCACTAAATTCGTCCGGATTCACCAAACAAAATACTCCCATGCCGCATATTATCATTGCCCCGCCCCCACCCCCTAATGGCTCTTTTTGGGCCTTCCTCCAACATTTCACTTCACATAATTGATAATTCTCCATTTCACTTCATGCAATCCCTTTTCTTCTAGTTATTACTCGAGAAAAACTAGAGGAGGAGAAGGAAGAGAAAACAAAAAAAAGGGGAGATTAAGGGGGATTGAATTCTTATTAGCGTCAGCAAAGGTTCATCCATATGACGAGCGTCATGGGTTCAGAATCAGACTATAGAACGATCAACTTCGAAGAAACTGAGTTGCGTCTAGCATTGCCTGGTAGCAGTGGAAGTGGGAACGATAATGAGTCTGTGAAGGGTAGTGGGAAGAGAGGGTTTCCTGATACAGAGTCGATCGATTTGAAGCTCAACCTTTCAACCGCGACCACCACTAAGGATTCAATTTCAAAGACGGATGAAATTGAAAAGATGAAGGAGAAGAACGTTGCTCTTCCGTCTAATGATCCTGCAAAACCTCCGGCCAAGTAAGTAACAAATTTCTCTTTATTTGTCTTGTGTCTCAATTTTTTTTTTATTTTTTGAAAAAAGAAAAAAATTTATTAAAATCAATAAATCTTCATTTCTTGGATCCAGAATTAAAAGATCCAGAATTAAAAGACGTTGTAGTAAATCAACGAAACATATAATTAATTTTTAAAACAAATTTTATGGTTTTTTTTTTCTTTTCATGTATTACTATTAAATTCTCATGGAGTTCAAGGGAGATATGTGTACACTAGATCCCAACCTTAAAAAGTTTTAAAGATTTTATTTACGATTTTTGGTGGCTTCGATGTGTTGTCGGGAAAAAGAAGAAAAAGACAAAACATGTGGAATCTTTTCTTTTCTTACCGAACAAACAGTAATTCAAAAGTAGAACAGAATAATTGAGTGAAGAGGAAAGTGGCTTTAATCTAAACTGAAATTCCTAATAAATGATTCTAATTTTAAATATTAAAAACAGATAATTAATTATTTTTATTGTGTAAATTCAGATATGTAAAAGAAAAATGGTTATGGTCGATTTTTCAGGGCACAAGTTGTGGGTTGGCCGCCCGTCCGATCATTCCGGAAGAATGTCATGGCCGTCCAAAAGAATGGCTCCGGCGAGAACGAGAAGGCTGCCACCACCAGCACCACCGCCGTCACTGCAGCTGCCTATGTTAAGGTTAGCATGGATGGTGCCCCTTACCTGCGTAAAGTGGACTTGAAGCTGTACAAAAGTTACCAAGAACTCTCCAATGCTTTAGGCAAAATGTTCAGCTCCTTCACCATTGGTAATATATAATAAAATAGTTTCTTAATTTTGTATCAATTTTAACAAGTTGATTTAATTAATTTTTAGGGGTCGATTTATATTTTTATAGGTAATTGTGGATCACATGGGATGAAGGATTTCATCAATGAGAGCAAATTGATTGATTTGCTAAATGGGTCTGAATATGTGCCAACTTATGAAGACAAAGATGGAGATTGGATGCTTGTTGGAGATGTTCCATGGGAGTAAGTTCCTTGATCTCGTCGGATTAATTAAACACTTAATTACATGCTTAGTTTGTATTGTTATAGATGATTTAAACACTTTTTCTCCTAATTTTTCAGGATGTTTGTTAATTCATGCAAGCGCTTACGAATCATGAAAGGATCAGAGGCAATTGGGCTAGGTAACTATTAGTATACCGTTAATCCGAGAGTAATTATCGTTTTCTTGAAAAAGCACAAGTTAGAGATTATGAATTACTTATTAATACTACATTTTCTTTTGATTTTCAGCACCAAGGGCAGTAGAGAAATGCAAGAACAGAAGCTGAGAAGACAAGTTTTCAGAAATTTCCTGCACTTTGTGATAAAAAGAACTGGCAAACTAGCTTGAGAGGGTTCGAGCAGGGAGTTTGGATCTAATGGGTCAATGTATCATGTTTTTCTTTTTCTTTTTCTTTTTTTTTTTATATTGTTTTTTTTGTCGTAGTGTTGTTAAGAACATGAGGAATATATTATCTGAGATTTATTAATTAGGGACATGGATTAATCATAAGAAAATAAAAAAAATGTTTATAAGACTCTTTTCATCTACCTCTCATGTTAAACTTTTTTTTGGCACACAAATTACATCTGGTAATAAGGTGTCATTTTTTTTTAAATTTATTTTGTAATTTGCACCTACCGTTTGAATGGACTTGTTGGCCTTGTAGTTGTAGTTTTGTGTGGGGGAAGATTCTCTCCGATATTGGAGATTAATTTAATTTGTTTTTGTGATTGGTTGGGGGAGCATTGAACAAGACTCGTGAACTAAGTGATAAGGGAAGCATCACCATGTGGGGTGCATTTTGGCAAAAACATATAAGAAGTTCAATCATATTTTATATGTTCTTATCTCTAAATCCAATGGGGTCTGTTTGGTATCAGGGAAAGTGACCCAAAGTTGACAGTGTATAATGGCAACCTTTGTTTGGTGTTGGTCACTTCCAAAACAAAGTCGGAAACCATTTTCAGAGAAGTTTAATTTCAAAATCTTAGGTTGGAAAATAAAAGGAGAAAAATGTAGTTTGAATATGATATTAGCTATCTTATCTATAACTTATTGATTTTAAGTTAGGTTGATGCTCATGTTATATTGAGAGCAAAACATGGATGTTTCCTAAATAGATACCATAGCCTTAAGCTCTTTTTTTTTTTTTTTTTTTTTTAATTGTTGAAAATTATTTAAATATAATTAATAATTAACAATTAATATCTAATGGCTTATAATTATTATTATATCTAATTTAAAATATTTAATTTATTTAATTAAAGTTAATAATTAATACTTTTTAAAAAATATTTAAAACA